TATTCTTTGTTGAAATTGTTTTTCATTTAACACTTTGAATATATTTTCCCATTTTCTCCTTGCTTGCATTATTTCCTATGAGAGGTCTGATGTCAGCCTAATGGGATAACCTTTGTAAGTAACCTGATGTTTCTCTCTTGCCAATTTTAGTATCTTGTCTTTGTCTGTGTATTTGGCCAATCTGGCTATGATGTGCCTTGAAGAAGATTTTCTTGGGTTGATTCTGCTAGGGGGCCTTTGTTTTTCTTGGGTCTGGATATTTGAATGCCTCTCTAGATTGGAAAGTTTTCTTTCAGGATTTTATGGAATAGATCATCAATACCCTTACTAGTTTCTTCACCTTCTGGAATACCAATTATCTGGATGTTTCGGTGCTTAATGATATCTAGTATTTCTTGTATATTATGCTCATTTTGGGGGGTGATTTTCTCAGTCTTTTTGGTGATATTTTCCTAGGTCAGAGGTTTTGTCTTCAACATCTGAGATTCGATATTCTGCGTGGTCTAATCTGCTTTTAATACTTTTGAGGGAGGTTTGGTTTTCTGTATTATAGCCTTCATCTCCATCAGCTAGATTGACTATTATTATTATTATTATATTTTTTTAAGAATTATTTTATTTATTTTATTTATTTATTTTTAAATTATTATTTATTTAATTTTTATTCATTCATTCATTTATTTTAATTTGACCAGAGAGAAACACACACACACAGAGAGAGAGAGAGAGAGAGGAAAAGGGAGAAAGGAAGCCACCAGGTCTGGGACTCAAACCGTGGTCGGCCATGTGGGAGTGTCCAGCACCTTAACCACCATGCCACCTGCTGGTCCCCAAAAAAGAATTATTTTATTTAACTTCATTTATTTATAAATTCCTGATTTCTTGGAGTTAATTCTATGTGTTTGGAGATGTGTGGGAGGAGGTGATCCTCAATCTCTCTGCAGTTCTGGTTCCCCAATGCTCATCAAGCAACCTGTACTTTTGACTTTGGAACTGGATATTACAAAGGTCTCACAGTTTCTAGGGAATAGCTGCACCTGGGCTGAGCTGCGGGGTTTGAACTGAGAGCTCAGAGGTGTGTGGGAGGAGATGAGCCATACTCTCTGCAGCTCTGTGCTTCTCCATGCTGCTCACTCTGCAGTCTCTCTTCTCTGAATTTTAGTCATTTGGTGGTGTATTCATTTTTGGCTAATTGCTTAGAGAAGGTTTCTGCAACTGTAAGATCATGTGCTTCCCTTACTGAAAGGTACTTCTGAGACAATTTGTCTCTTCTACTGTGTTTTGCAACATGGTTTCCATAGAAAGAGATATTGAATTCAGATTTATAAAGAGGAATTTCTTCCTTCAGGCAGCAGGTTTGGCAAGGATTGATGATTTTTCTTTTCTTTTTTTTTTAAAGAATTATTTATTTAATTTTATTTATTCATTCACTTATTTTAATTTGACCAGACACACACACACACACACACACAG